TTTTTTTTCTAATTTCATTAGTAACAAGTTTACTTTTCATAATCTAATGATTTTGATCGTGCAACAAAATCTTGAGCTGTCTTACCAAAGTCATTGATAGCATTTCGAAGTGGATCTAATAAAAAAAGATTACATTTTAATTGATATATAAGATTGTAACAACAATTATTCTTATACCAAGAAGTGTAGGATCTGTTGGTTTAAGAGTATTCATAGCTTGAATAAGTGCTGTTGCATATCTTGTTACATTAAATTGTAGAACAGGTGTTTCAGATAAAAGTAATGTTAAAACACCCCAAAGTTGTCCTATTGTTCTATGAGCCTGATTGATATACTGTTAAATAACAAAAAAAATGAATATTTTTTAGAAGAAACTGACTTTAAAATCTGGATCTATAAAATTTTTCATCATCGAAAAGACTTCATATGATGTATGATACAGTGGATATGAATCTGGATTTCCATAATCAGCGAAATTGTAGGTGTATCTCATATCCATATTTGATGATCCAATCAACTGGTCAAAGCCATAGTAGTCACTAGCTGATCCAAGACCATATCTCATTCTATACAGAAAACGATCATGACATATGAAATGAAACTTTTGTTTCTTTACTTTGGTTCATTAGTGACATTATTTCGATTAACATTCATCCATTTATCATAGACAGTTAGTCCAGGAGGATCATATGCACTTGGAATCTATAATTTAAATTAGAGAAAGAAAGAATCTAACATGCTAATGATTATTACCATTTTAGCTGCTTGAAGAATAATATCAAACAACAATGGAGAAGTATCGATATTAATCGTGTAATTTCCTGTTTTAAACATAAGTAAAGTAATCATTTCAACATTTATAATACACATTTTACCTTCAACGGCATTATCTACATTCAGATAAGAGACAATTCGAGCACCCAGTACTTTAACATATTCCTTAAAAAAACATCAAATTATAGTTCTAGAATATTGTTTATGATTTAAAAAACCAGATAATTCCCATACCTGAACATATTCTAGTGATCCAATGAGTGCATATTCTTCAGCACCCCATGAACAAAACATTAAACTACGTCGTGGTCGAAAACCTGTCAAATATATTCAACATCAATTTTAGTATTGACTATATATGAACATCAAGAATTACCATTTTTATACATTTGACCAAGTACTCGTGTTATTTCAAGAAGAGTAGCTGTGCCACTTGTTGGATCGACACTGCCCAGAGTCCAAGAATCTCTGAAGGATAAAAATTGTTCAATAATAGAATAAGAAGTATTCAATCATACAAGTGGAATATAAACTAACAAAAAAATATGAACGCTTTAAATCTTACCGATGATTGCCAATTGCAATATATCGATCTAAAAACACAAATAGTTTCATTTTATAACAGAACAACCTTTGACTTACCTGGCTCGATTTCTCCTTTCATTATTCCTATCACATTGTATGTATCTTTTCTTTCAAGTCGATTATATGTTTTTACTTCAATTGTACTATTCAAAAAAAAAACATTTACTTGTTATAGATATTTAGATAGACTTATCTTACGATGCATTACGAAGTTCTCCACCATAACGATATGTTACATTCGACAAAGTTCCACGCCATTCTACTGGCACTTCGCTACCTTGGAGATATCTAAATATGATACTTTCTATCATCAATTAACAATAACATTAAAGAATTTCTTACTGAAGAATAACTTGAGCTTCACCATAACCAATTGGTTGAGCAGGAATTTTAGGTAGGAAACGTACACTGTCTTCTCTCACTCTGTACATATAGTCTATAATATTCAAAAACACTATATTCATTCATTTGGTAACTAGGACATCGTGATACCTGTCGATGGATATATAGGTGTCAAAGGATCACCATTCATAATCGATGCAGATCCTCTTTGTACGCCACTTGGAGGCATAAACCATTTTTGATCATAGACTTGATCAGGAGTTGTTCCAAATGGAGCATAATCAGCTGGATCATTATATAATATAGCACCTACAGCTCCAAAATATTGAGCATGCATTACCTATAAATCATTCGATAATTCCCAGACGTCGTGTTTTCAATGGAGAAGAAAAGGAAAAACATACCTTATCTCCTCGATAAATGCGACCATATCTCATAATGATGATACTACCTTGAAGACTAGCATTTCCAACAAGAGATACTAAGGTTTGAAAATCTTCAAGTTCACCATAATTAGCATAGAATAGTTTATTCTATTTTATCAAACATAAATTTATTCTTTAGTATGAAATCTATTGTTAACATTTATTCTGAACTTACACTAGAAACAGTTCCATTAGGTGTATAAGCAAGAAATGGATTGACTGTTTTTGGTAGTGTTGAATCATAGATTTTTTCAACTCCAGCTGTTTGAAAAATCGCCATACCATTATCACTTATGAGAGTAACTCTTAATGAATATATATCAAAAGTCAATAAAGATTGTGATTGACTTTTGTACTTACCGATTCGGATTATTATTATCTGGATAAGAAAGAAGAACATTATATTTTGGTTTAGTTACTTGTAAACCATCACTTTTCCATCGTTGTTCAATAACTTGAGCACTTTCTAAATCTTCAGGTAGACCAGCCATATGAGGACGTGATGTGAGATCTCTATATAATTTTATGTAGTGTAGATATTTTTGTTGGAATGTAGGTATAGTTAAAATTACTTAAGATTTGCTTCAATATTAGCTGGTTGAATAGAATTAATAAATGTTTGATAGTTTTGTTGATCAGCTGGTCTTGTAAGACGATCATACTTGGAAGATGTATTAGTTGTTGTCTTAGTTATAGCAAAATGGCCAATGATAATACCAAGTCCAAGAGCAAGTACAGTTGCAATCAGTGGACCGATTATCAAAAACTGAATGTCATTCAATCGTTATTATCAAAAGTAGACAAGTTTATCATCTCTTACCTTGTGATTCATAGTTAGAAAACCTTGTTTTTAATTGTCTTATTATTGTCGTGTAGTTTTATTACTCGACACACCACACAACTGAGATTTATGAATGTCCGTGAAGTAAGCTTAACGTCTTCGGTCTTCGAATGAAGGTTTTGAATAGTTTTTTATTACATTGTTTCGTTTCTTATCATTCTACTCTCTCGTTTGCTTTTGTTCTTTCAACATTTGCGAAAGATTAGACATAATATTTGTTTTTACTTTATCGTCAAGATCCATTCTGCATTTATTTCGCAACGGATTCAAAATAGAACGATGATTTTCATAGAAAAGGAAGTCATTTATTTTTATATGTGAATAAGTTGAAATTTTTTTTATTGACATATGAATTAGCAGTAAAGTTGAAAATGTTTCGAAACCTACGAAAAAATATATGCCACTGTGGTGCCACCAGGGCTGGATAAGTATGGACATTCTCGAGTACGAGTACGTACGAGTAACTTACGTAACAGCTGACTAGACAAAAATTTAATGAGCAGTTATAGCAATGATGTATCAATTTTGAGATTGAGACATTGTGAGAGTCGTGAATGGAAATATTGTTACTACTATTCTTTTATTATCAAGGTTCAAGCGATGAAATTACATCTAAACCTTATTACATTTAAGAAAGCGAAGCAAGCATTCATCATTTGTGGTTAACAATGTGTGACATGGATGCATTACAAAGCCGCTTTAAGAAAATATTCTTGCAATACGAGTTAATGTAACTGATACTGACCAATACTTCAGATCAAGTTCATCTAGACACGAAAAAAAAATTTTCTTGAGAAAGGGTAAATCAATTTCACCACTTTTTTCAGGTAGAAAAACATCAAACTCTACAAAAACTTTTACTTTATCAACAAAATAAAAGTGTGAATGGCGCCGAAGAGAAGCCTTGCACTCACATCCAACAACGAATTTATTTTATTTAGTACGAATAAATCGCGTATACGAAAAGAAACAAGAACTATATACTATATAGACATGAATCACTTACCGATAACATACTATATTACTAGTCAAAAAGAATAACCAAAGAAAAACATGAGTACGTCTGTTGTTATAGCAGAGTGTGGTGTCTAATTATTCATCTGAATACATATATATACAGAACAAAAAGAAGAAATCAGCTATTTATTTCATCCTCGGAAAATATAAATTACAATTTCATCAAGCATCATTTTGATGTACTACATACTCATCAAGGATTTCGAGTATGAGTACTTTGCCAATCTCTGTGTATGTGTACAAGAGAATGTTTCCTTAGACTATTTTATTAGAGGTGATCAATTTACATTTAAAAAAAATTATTAGATTCAGAAATAAATTTTAAAAGATTTACATTGGACATAATTTTAAACTTGTTCGGTTCTCTCTAGGAACAAAAGCAACCTTTTATCTCGACAGTGTGCTATCTAGCATATATTTGTGAGTATTTTAGTATCATTAGAAAAGAACACGAACGGAGCACAGCTCTTTTATACCGGATCTTTTATTCTGATGATCGGATTTTAACAGATGATACCAGTTTCTTTCCTTATTTGTATTTTTTTGAAGTCATGTATTTGATATTAGTAGTGATCAATGTACATTTAATAAAATTTAAATTTATTTTAAACTTAACTTGCCAAGATTTTTATTTATTTCAAATTTCAATTGGCAAGATTTTAAATTTGCAATAAATTACAAGGAAAATCCCACTCCTGGTTTTTATCGACAGTATTGGTTATGTAGCGACGTAGAGAAATGTATGAGAATAAAATATAACTGTTGTAAGCAACACACCATCATGAAAAGATATCATCGACGTCACTGCACCGAAGATATCTTCCTTTATAATTGAGACCCATGATAATTGCTTAAATGACACGTATCAGACATTTTATCATTAAAAAACATATAACAATTCAATTAATTTTTTCAAATATGAAAATTTTATTACGTAGGATAAGGTTACGTAACAGAATATCGCTATTTTATACTCATCCCTTTATACAACTTTTCTATTCGTGTAAAAACCATGAACTCCTATTTTTAGTATTCAACATCCTTCGAGAAGCAAAACCTTAGAATTACTGTGACTTGATCGATATATTCTAGAGCTGTGCACGTAAACTGATCATCATATGATGACAGACAAATATAATGACGGATAAAATTTTTGTTAATAATTATATTTTTATGTGATATTCATTGGGAGAAAAAAAATTATGAAAAAAAATTATGAAATTCTTTTAATGTAGATAAAGCACCACGTATAAAATAAGTAGCTATTGCTACTTGATATTCGATTTCTGTTGAATTACCACTGACAATCGCATCACTAATAGCAGGAAAACCATCTGCTGCATATTTATTAATTTTAACTGGTGCATAGATGATATGTCTTAAATAAAAATCAAAAAGACATAAACCATATAAAGAAAAAATTCATTCATACTTGAAATCAGTATAATCACCGCCTTGTCCTAATGGATTTAGAAATGCACGTTCAAGTTGTAATAATTGATCATTATATGCTCGAATTTCATATGGACTACAAATGAAAAATACAACTTCATCTTTTTTTTCTAATTTCATTAGTAACAAGTTTACTTTTCATAATCTAATGATTTTGATCGTGCAACAAAATCTTGAGCTGTCTTACCAAAGTCA